TATTTAGGAGATTCTTGAATTTAGCAAGAATCAGCTCACGAGAGCTCTTGCCATGAGAAAACACATGATATATATGTTCATGTTTCAAATGGCCCACCAATTGGATAGGTGAATGTCACATCCTAAATTATACACACATCTTTTTAGTTATAAAAAAATGTACCTTATATAGATCCCTTATCGGAGACTGGGGTCTGATTATGGGCCTTTGGGTACTGTTTGTGGGCCTGTCCACTGGTAGCCATTGTAATTTGCTGTAGCCAACAGCTACAGTCCCTCTCATTCTCAACATGCAGTAGGGTCAGCAGCAGGTACAAGCTACGGTCTTTTTTCGTTGGCAGCGATCCACTGCCACTACTTTATGTTACAGCAATATATATCAATTACCATCCTAATAGCCTGCACTCGACCAGAACTAATGAGGGCTGGACTTTGAAGGAAGAAGCTTGATGGCGAGTGCTGAAGATGCATGTATGTGTTCTTCTTTTCTAGAAAAGTTAGATTTCCCTTTTTTGGCCTTAAATCGATAATTTTGCCTGACTTGAGAATTTGACTCAATTCTAGGAAGATTCAGTTGGGACATGGACTTTAGGAATTTGGACGTATTGCTCGGAGAGCCTACCACTTGCCCAGCTCAATTTTTGGAATCTAGTGACACATGCGCCTTGGTGGAGAGTTGTCCAGTGAGCTGCCGCCCTTGACATCCATCTCCATCATGTGATCTTGTGGCGACTTCTATTAGATTGAGATTTGGATGTGGCGGTCGCTTGACGAGACCATTTTCATTCGAGTCGCCCGGCACCAGTAGCGGAGGCCCAAAATGTCATGTCTCAAACTCTCTTGTGAAGCAATGGAAGCTCATTGCACAACATTACATGTGCAACAGCGTGCACCGTCAGAAATGATTCCCGTTGAGTTCATTCTACTAGATATATGCCCTACGTTATACGGTCTGAAGTTTTGCTGATACCTATAAGCGGCCGCGCGTGGCTTCTGACTTGAATGATCATACACTTGTGTGGCCTCACCTACTTGCACTTTGTCTTGAGTTTCTTGTGTGCGATCGAGAACCACTACGTGAAAAACGATCTTTGTGGCAGAACAAATTTTTTTACTTAGGGCCAATTTGGTGATGGAGCAGCCCAGCCCTCACGTTGGCGATGTTCGGGAGGCCATAAACCAAGCGCCTACAAATAGAACAGCAGGTAATTTGCTGGTCTGGCTCCGCCTCTACAAATGGGTCCCGGAGTTTGTAAAGGGCGCTCACTCACTGAGCCGCCCCAGGATTATCATTTGTAAGCGACACCGTCATCCGGCCGCCCTACCAATTTATTTGCCATATATAAAAGCCTCCTCGCGTCTCCTCACTCCCGCGCCTCCACCGCTCATAACTCCTCCTCCTCTCCTCCTCCTCGGCTCCGCTGCCCTCCTCCTCGCCTTTTCCGCTTAGGTCTGGCTTCCCACCCTCGCCGCCTTCCCCGCCGAGATCCAGCCCCTCCTCCTGGCCTCCCCGCCCTCCTCTGCCTCGCCTTTCCCGTTTAAGACTACCGGCAAATGCCGAGCCAACCCAGGTGCGGTGCGGTGCTGGCTGAGTGGCTACCCGGCGAGATCCGCCACCTGTTAGCCTGAATCCGGTCCCCCACCCCCACGCCTTCCTTCACCACTGCACTGGAGGCCGAGCGAGAGGGCCTTCACGTGCGACTTGGAGCGGCAATCGATGGGCATGGCGGTCACCGTTGTCGGGTAGTTGAAGAGAAGCGGCGGGGAGATCACGGGTCAGAGCTGGAGCGAGGTGAAGATGCCGACCTTCCGGTGGTGCGCGCCTTGCCGAAGAGGTCGGCGGCCACAGCGGACTCCGGAGCCGCCGGTCCCTCGGCGCCCATCTTGATGCACTGCGCCCGATCTACATTACGCCCGCCATCGCCTTTGCTGTGAGCCCCGCTTTGCGCCCTCGCCACATCCCGCAGACCCACACACCGTACCCTCTCCCCACAGCCCCATACCTCGCCCTCTCACCACAGCCCAAGCGCAGCTCTGGCGTGGATCGTGAGAACATGGATCCGACCATCTGTTCCCAAGGCATGCCTCTACGTGGCGGCGCGGCGGTCTGCTGTCGAGCGACCTCGGCGGACAGGGAGCTCCTCGGTTGCGGTGCTCTTAGGAGCTTGCGGCGGCGGCAATGGCGCGGTAAGCGGTAGGTCGTTCTTCCCCTTCTTGGACAATGCCTCACTCAAGGAAGATATGGCCAAATGTGTGTAAAGAGATGGTTGAATCATCATATTCTATCATCTCTATACTAGTAGAGATTAGAAATTTGATATGTATTTTCCTTACGAAGGATATGATAGGTTTTTAGTCTATCTGCTCTGTACTAGTAGAGATTAAAAATTGGCTAAGAACATTATGCTGTCGTACTTACGTTGGTCTTTGAAACTGAACAACGGAGTAAGAATATGAAGATGTTGTGCAGGTGATCCGAACTATGCATGTTATCACCTTAAGAAAGGAGAAATTAGGTGTACCATCCTAATCTGTAATAGCTATTGAACTCTGGATGTCTTTTCATATAAGCTCAGTATTGAACTCTACATGTTCTCAGCCTATTCGTAACTTCATTCATATTGTGGTCACATAGGGATATAGGTTTGGCTCGAGAAGAGGCTAAGCCATTGAACACATATGTTGTAATGAAGTCTGGTGGCAAAGACGGGCCTGGAGTCTGGATCGATGCCGAGGCGTGGTGAGCTCGTCACGGCCAGGGAGCTCCTCCTCCTCCGGCGGCTACATCCACTCTGGTATGAAATATTGTTAGTGTCAAGAAAGTAGGAAATATTTTTAGTTTGTTGTAGATGGTAAAGCGAAACGTTGATCCGTTGATCCACCATTTTACCTTGAGTAATAGTTAGTTGTATCCTACTTGATGCTTTCAAATGGAATGCTTAATAACCAAGTAGTGTTTTATTTTCATTCTTGTTGTTAATAATGATTAGTTATATTTTCTAAGGGAGTTTATTCATCATATGTTGCTTTCCTTTTCAATTTCATTGGTAATGATAATTAGATTTGCTTATAGAGAACAGAAGCTACAAGACGATAGAAACCTGAAGAACATTATCCTGGAAAAAAGATAAAAGATAGAAAGGTACTCATCCTTTCATTATTTTTTATAACCTAACTTCTGTGTTTTTCTGCTTTTAATTAATAGAATGTGTTGCCAACGATCAACAATCTGAAACTATGGGGTTTAGGAAAACTGTAGGCATCCTTTTGAGCTGGTCCTTCTATGAAGCGGTCATACCAAGAAAACATATATTTTCTTTATGTCTGATCCTTCTACAATATGTTTTTGTGATGGCAATGTCATTATATCTTTGCTCTTTCTGCATATGTTCTTTTATTTTTATTAGTTCCTGCATTTTTTGTCATGGACTTCAGATTGATTTCTTTTTTTTTTCATTATACTGAGTTCAGTTTGAGTGATCCTTATCTATACAAGTTTAGTATTTCTTCCATCTTATATGCCCAGCCTGCAAAGAAAAAGTTCTGTTTTTTCTTAGCTGAAGTAGTTTGACTTTGTAGGCAATAGCTCGACAGATTGCCATGGTGTTCCTGTGAATATTTTCCCTACTTCTATACTTGCTGCAGAGCTGTCATACCTTTATATTTAGTTTTTAAATGTTATATCATTGTTTAAATCCTCATATTTGAAGGGCAGTGTATATGGGCTTCATTACCGCCACTTAAAAATGGATCTACAGAGCATCGAAACCTTTAATATTAGCTATTGCATCCCAAGACTCTGCATCGTTTTTTCGGGACCGTAGTCTTGGTTCAGATTCTCCCATATCTGTAAGTTGCTAGTTTGCTAACGGTTTGCGATTGTCCTATTCATATTATTTACTTATGCCAGATAAATAATTTCTTGAGTTGTTTCACAGGGGATTGATTGCCTTGCTCACTTTGTTGATGCTCTTTCTCACATTCATGATTTAAGCAACCTTAAGAAACAGGTATGATATGACCACTGATTTTGTTTGCTAGTTGCTCCCATGTTATTATGCTGGATATTCTTTTCTCTCTTACTTAGAGCAGGTATCCAGCAAATCTTATCCACCAATTTATCTTTTCTTCTATTATACTTGTCGTGAGGTCCAACCTACTGGTTTCATTCAGCTCGATACACCTGTAGAAGGATTGAGAGAATGGTTGGATGCTGTTCAGACATGCAGGATACCTTGTGTTTGTCGCATCATCCCTTGACAGGAGATGCATGATCAAAGCTTTGGATCGGATGGCACTAAGCAAATATTTCAAGGTGATTTGAGCTACCGTTTGAGCTTTTCAAGTTTATTACTGAATTACTGTTGCCTAAAAAAGCATGCTGCTTAGCAAAGTTCATTTGATTCACTTGAGTTGTTGACTATCTGCGATTGTGACTGACGAAGATGATATGGAGTCGATAGCAAATAGGTTTCTGTCAGCTGATATGGACTTGCAGGAAGCCAGATAATCGAGAAGTCACCTCCCAAGAGGAGGCTGACGATAGACACCATTTTCTGATGGATATACTTTTTATTTGGTGTCTGCATATTTGTTCTTGAGTAGCCAACCACCTTCGACATTGTGTGTTGGCATTGTATATAAGATAGTGCTGATGTTAGGTGATCTGCTGTGCCCTCCTTGTGAATGCAATGCAGTAGTTCCATCAAGGTACCATGAAGAAGACTGCTGCATCAATGTTGCTGTTGATGTAAGCTGATATTATTGTAAATTTATTTTTTTTGCGGAAAAATGATTTGTAAGGCGGTTGATACTGTAGCCGCCCCTACAAATCGATTTGTAGGGGCGGCTACAGTACCAGCCGCCTCTACAAATCGATTTGTAGGGACGGCTACAGTACCAGCCGCCCCTACAAATCAGTGATTTGTAGCCACCCTTTCATAGGGGCGGCTGGTAAAACCGCCCCTACAAAGGCTTACCAACCGCCCTAAAAAAATGTTTTTACGTAGTGGAAGAATCCAGCTCTCAAAACCATGGGCATGCTTGGTTTCGTGTGGACCTTGTGTGGCCTCACCTACCTGCGCAGATGCATGTAACAAGAAAATTGCCCCGCTCAAGCGAGCCATTTTGCCTCTCCCTCAGGAGCAAGCTAAACCTTGCCTGAACAATCCCCAAAAACTTGAGCCGAAGAACCAAACACACATCTTAATCGCTATCCTTGCTCGGTAAAGCATCACAATGCATGGCGAAGAAGGATACAAGGAGGCCCATCTCTCAACGCATATAGTTTCTCATGGGTCCCCAACACTAATTGCTATCTATCAGTCATATTTTGGGCCTGTATGATATAACTTTACTGGTGGAGCTGTTTTTATCGGCTTCAGCTCCATGGCAGCTCTGGGGATGAAGTGAAGCTGTTATTATAGTGGATAAAAAGGATAAAATGTCTAAAATACCCTTTCTCTTTTTTCTTCTGTTTTCCTTTATTTTTTCTTTTTTCTTCTCCGCTCTTATCCTTTACCGTCCCTTATCCTCGCTGAAGTTACTTCCTTGCGTACAAACAGTGGCCCCTAAAGCCCTAGGGTCTGCGTGCCTCAGCACCCACAACATCATGAAGCTCATTCAGCGTCAGCGCTACGGGGCGATCTCCATGGTTGCTTGTGACCCGATGCCCACGCCCACGCTCCAATGGCTGTAGCCGTGTGTCCATGCCTGGCAGCCGCGCCCGGCAACTCCTCCGTGCCCGGTGGCCATGGCTACGACTACCTCGACGGCAGCACCCGACGGCTTCTTTCTCTGCGTCTGTGACAGCGACCGTCTTCCCCGCGTGCGTAGTCCGCACTCACGTCGGGGCAAATTGCGCCCACAGTGCACTGAGACCTGAGCAGGGAGCAGGGCGACGCGCCTCTGGGGCGCCTTCTAAACGGTGCCGAGGCGAGCTCTTGTGTCTGTGTGTATGTGCATGGATCGTATTCTATTTCTGTATTTCACAGGAGGGAGAGAACTGAGACGGACTCGATCCAGCGTCGGGTGGGCACGCGTGCGCGAAGATGTGTTGGACGAAAGCCCTTCTTATTTTTTAGGTGTAACAGATTTAAATTTAATATACACGGCTTTTTCCAACAGATACTTAGAAATATAATGTTAAAATGGTAGAAGAGTAAAGGTGCTCATTATTAGAATTAAGTAATGAAGCTTCAGGCCAAAAAAACTATCAATAAAGGTTTTGTTCTCACTAATTTATTGAATGGTCATAATATTTAATTTTAATTGCTCTATACCACAGCGAAAAACCGAATCGTTTTTTTAATGGTATTCTGTTTCCATGATTTAAAATTATGGCAGAAAAGCTTATTTACTGGCAACTAATAATTGGGTTGCCAGAATTTGTTTTAGCAAAAAACTAGAAGAAAAAATGGCACATGGCTTGGATCTTGAACCCATGACCTATTTTTGGTCATAAAATGTTGTTTACTACTACAATAAGAATATATTTTCAAACTATTTCACTCATTTTTTCATGTACTATATGGCGCTATGGGAATACATGTTAAAAAAAGGAAAAAATAATCTGCCTAATCTTCTCTGGTTCTAAAGTGTCCCATTAGCATTCACACGGCCTAGTCGATGTCACCTCCTTAGTGGCCATTACCTCAGCCCATTCGCCTCCAGGCCATTCCCATGCACACACCTCCAATGTGGCCCATTTGAATAATGGGCATGGAAAATTAAAAAGCACGTACCTTAGCCACTTGAACTCATTAACTAGCAATTAGGCGAAAGTGGTTGTACACTTGTACCAGTAAGATACAGAGTTTTCTTTGTGTGTTCCTACACTTTATTTTATATATATTTAAATTTTAGCAGCTTATGTACCCTTGTGCCCTTGTGCGCGCTCTAGGACTTTGGCTAGTGAAAGTAGTTGCAGTGTACTCAGTTTGTACCTACGGTTCTCCATTTGTGATCGGGCAATCTTGCCACTCGGTTTTCTGTAATGCCTGCCAACAAAAGTGGTTATATGTCAATTGGTATATGTTGCCACAATTTTGGCCCTATTATATTGCCACGAATTTTTGTTGTGGCGAGAGGGGGATTTTCTAGTCATCCTGGACACAGAATGAGAAAACACAGGGCCCCGAGGCCTTGGAGGGTCAGAGGGGTAGAACAGTGGTGCCACAATGTTGGAGATAGCTTGCTTCAGGGGTTACCTTGGGATTGTCCCTCACGAATCTTCTCCACCAAGGAAGGGTCTCCTCACCCGCCACCCCAAAGTGCCCACCTCTCCACGCCAAGCCTGGAGGGTCGGTCATCGGTGTTGCTAGTGAGCCACAAAGATAACTTAATTTACTTTTGTCATAGTTTTACTGCATTATTACAGTCTATCTCATCAAATAAGATTACTCCGATGCTTGGAAGTTATTCCATTCCAAAATAGTACAACAAACGATTTTACTTGGCATGGTATTCAAGACAACACATTGGACACTAGTTTCTCTTATACTCATCATCTATGGCATCAAAAGTTTGATCATTAGGAAGTATTTCTAAATATAAATTGAGCGTAAACCTTTTGTGGCACAAGCTTTTCATATCGTTGAATTAATTTTTAATCAAAGATTATGATGTTTGAATCTAGAAATACATGCTCGCTTTATATTTTAGGATGCAAGGATAAGTATACATCAATTTTTTTCTTTTGTTTTACTATATTTTTCATTGCCTTTGATTTTATTGTCTCTATAACCTGGTGTGCTCAGAAGAATCTTTAGGTCGTAAGAAATACCTGAATTTCTTACCATGTAAACAAACACAAATGTTTGTTATAGCTAAGCTGTAAAATATGTTTCCATATTTCATTTGTTTGATGACATAAAGACCATTTACATGTAAACAGTTAATGTAACTTCCAACTCAACCTCATTTTTATGTAGTGCTTTCATCAACACCAAGCTGCTGCGCTCTGTCAGTCTACCAATAACTGTGTCAGCATGGATATGACAAATGACATCGTGTGGCTCACCATAGCACTTGCTTCCATCACCGTGGTAATTACCAAGGCTAAAAGGAAAACAGCTAAGCTTGATCCAAAATGCATTAGGATGCCTCCACCAGCAGTGAAGGGTCTTTCTATCATTAGAATTTTGCATACACTTCTTACGAAAGGTCTGCAACAAATGATCCATGATCAATATAAAAAGTTGGGGAGTGTGTTCACAGTACGTTTCTTTAGAATGAAGGCAACGTTCTTGATTGGGCCAGAGGTCTCTGCTCATTTTTATCAAGGCACCGATTATGAGATTAGCAATGGTGTTGGCCTCGAGTTTACTGTACCCATGCTTGGCAAAGAGGTTGGCTATGGCGTGGACAGTGCCACCCGAAATGAGCAGTTTCGTGTCTTCTATGATGTTCTAAAACCATCAAAGTTGAGGAGCCATTATGGTTCCATACTTCAAGAAGTGGAGGTAAGTAACAATTGACCATGTCTGAAGTTTGATGCCTCATCTTCCATGACACCTTAATCAAACTTTGATGCCTTACATTTATGGTGCCTGAATCAAACCTGGTTAATTATTATTTCTCCTATAATCTGTAGTCTTTCAAACCATCATGAAACTTGGTTTTGTTTTATATTTGAACCATTTATGAAAAGTACACAAGAAACAATTTTGTCTTGAACAAACTTTTACTGACTATGCTTCTAGTTAACGTAGTGATTGTTCTAATGGGTCGGCACAGATTGCCTCTTATTATTTTCTGTAGATAGTTTGACCAAATCGTGTGAACAAAATTGACATCAATTCCTACATATATGATGACGCACAAATTTTGGCATAGAAACACCATATGAAACTGTTAAGGCTTTATATGTTTGATCTAAAGTATATATGGTGTAAGATATCTGTTATCACTGTTGAGGATGTTTGTCAGATTTTCACAAAAGTTTAAAGGAATAAAATGCTCTCTTTCATTCCATTGAAATTCACTCAGAAAAAATATTCTAACAATTTGGGAATTTATCATTAGTTGTTTACCATGAATTTGAAGAGTGTATAGCATTCCACCATTTGCTGCATAGCTTACTTAAAAAAAATGCTAGGTTCGCTAAAGAGAGTTACAGTAGAGTGTCATCTCACTTCTGTCCACACAATTGTTACATGTTTGCCACCCAATTCACACAGGGCACTAAAATAGTTAACTTCACCATGGTGATGCATTTTCTACAGGAGTACTTTGAAAAATGGGGACATCAAGGCATAGTTGACCTAAAGCAAGAATTGAACCAATTACTCATGCTAATCTCTGGGCGATGCTTACTGGGGAAACAGGTTGGGAGAAGATGCTTGATGAGTTCTTTACTCTGTTCCAAGAACTCACCGATAAATTCTTCCCAGACGTCCCAACTCCAGCAACTCGACGACGTGACATAGCACGTGCCAAGCTCTCAGAGATGCTCACTGAAATTGTGAGATCACGCAAGGAATATAGCCATGTTGAGAATGACGTGCTGCAGAACTTTATTGATTTCAAATATAGTGATGGTCGGTCTACAACAGAATCAGAGGTCATTGGATTGATGATTACTTTGATCCTTGCAGGAAAACATACAAGCACCATCACTAGTATATGGACAGGTGCTCACTTGCTTGCTAGTGCAAGGATCCTGAAATCTGTCCTCGTGGAGCAAAAGATATTAATCAGTAAGTATGGGGATCATTTAGACTATAATGCCTTTCTAGAGATGGACACCTTGCATAATTGCATCAAAGAGACGCTACGCATCCATCCTCCAGTTGCTATATTTCGTCGCAAGGTACATAAGAACTTCATTGTACAGACAAAGGATGGTATTGAATATGAGATCCATAGCGGGCATACCTTAGTAAGCCCAGTGATATTCAATAACAATTTACCTCACATTTATAAGGACCCAGATGTGTATGACCCAGACCGATTTGGTCCTGGAAGAGAAGAAGACAGAGTTGGTGGTAAGTTTGCTTACACGTCATTTAGTGGTGGAAGGCATGCTTGCAAAGGCGAGTCATTTGCTTATTTGCAAATTAAGGTGATATGGAGCTATTTGCTAAGAAACTTTGAGCTAAAATTGAATCTCCTTTTCCTGATCCTGATTGGACCAAGCTAGTCGCGGAGCCTAAAGGAAGAGTAATGGTGAGTTACAAGAAGCGGCTGCTAGCTACCACCGAGGTTGTGCATGCCTAGCTACTTATGTGGATCCAATAACTAAGTATGCTTGTGTGTGTAATATGTATGCACGTATCATGTTCATGACACATGTTGTATGGACTGATGTTGCCATTATCAAATACAGCTGGTACCATGCATGGGAGCTTAAAACGGGAATTGGAAATGATATATCTCTCTCAAGAAAAGGAAGAACTTGGAATGGCAAATGCAAAAGAACATTATGTTAACACCAGCATTATGTGTAATAAATCATCTGTTTGATCACTAGAACGTACTTCTATATACAAATCCAATGCAACCAACCTCTTTTTTAGCACACGTTTTCATATTGTTAGACTACTTGTTAGTCAAAGACTACAATGTGAATCTTTGAGTGCTTGTGGGCCTTATATTTTGGGACCGAGGGTGTAAGTGTGCAATAAATTTCTTTAATTTTACTTAAATTTTATTATATAATTGTCATTGTATAGTTTCCATATAATACCATTTGCACATATGATTCTCTAAGTCTTAATGAACACTCGGAAGTGCTAGTGTGCCCGGACGTCCGGACGGATGCCTGCGCTTGCTTCGTGTCGCATGCCCCGCCTGCTTGGATTCGCACGTTCTGGTTCGTGTGCACACACTGGAATCCACGCACCCTGCCCACGGATGCGTGTTGCATGACTCCGGCCGTCCCATCCAAGAGTATACACTTGAAACATCAAACATTTGCTGTAACATATGTTTGAAACAGATGAAATATTTGCAACATACACATGCAACATATGTTTTAACATATGCAACATTCAAATAAAACGCTTGCAACATACGTCTGAAACAGATTAAACATTTTGAACGGATGCTGGTAACTTACGTATATAGCCATTGCAACATATACAACATCCTGATCTACTTTTGTAACATCCATATGAAACACTTGCAACGTACCTCTGAAACATCTAAAACAATTGAAAACATATGTTTGCAACATGTGCTTTCAGTGCAACATCTCCTTCTTTGAGGTCGCGCGTTATGGCGACAACGACCTTCTCCGGTGGGGAACTACAGCAGCGGCAACACCTCGGCACAGCGGGGGATGGAATCGGTAATATCCGCAAGGTCACTGTGCCCATGATTGGCAAATAAGTTGGCTATGCCATTGACACTGCCACCAAAAATGAACAAGGTCATTTCTACTATGACAAACGAAAACCACATTGATTATAATGCGTTTCACTATATTGTTTTTTGCATGTCACCGACCTACAGTGCGTCTTGAGGCAGTCTCCCGGAAGCGTGCTTTGTGGCTACTTTGTATGTCAATTTATGATAACCAACAGGTGGTACTACACTAACCTTAAAGACATAAGTCGATTTGTCGAACCATATCATATACATATGTTCATTAATATGAATCTAGCTAATTTTGCTCCTTTTGTTTCATGCAGCATCTGGCGTTGCCACCTCCCGTGCAATTAACCTAAAGGATATTCAAGAAGATTAAGATGATTTCTACAAGTTCTTGATGCGGGAGGTTCTCTCTGAGAGAGGGCTTATTCTTTGATCGTTATCTGAGTATGCCACACATCCCAAGTTTGAGTCTCTTCGCGCTGCAGAACAACCCTTCAAATCATTGTTGTGATGAAGCACAATGTTATTTACTAGCATGTAATGTAAATTACAGTATGCTACAAATACTTTGTGAATCAAGTTTGTATTATTTAACTAGTCCACTAGTATATGTGAAGTTTATTTGAATCAATTGCAATAGGCTCTGAAATTTGGTGGGAAATGGGCGATTTCAAATATGGTGGAAAATTTTAAAAATTTAAATCTGATTTTTAGGGGCGGTTCAGATTGAGCAGGATCACACTTGTAAATCTATTTTTAGGGGCGGTTTCAATAAGCAACAGCCCCATAAAATGTGTTTTTAGAAGTGGTTTGCATTGCCACAACCATCCTTGAAAAAACAGTTTCAAGGACAGTTGCAGTCACTTTACAGGGGCGGTTCATTTATTGAAACCGCCCCTGCAAATAGATTTTTAGGGGCGGTTCTCCTATTGCAACCACCCCTGAAAATACCATTTCAAGGTGCGAACACTACAAACGCCCTATCTTTACAATCGATGGGATAGTAATGGTTTTCTAAACCGGCTCTGAAGACCATTTTTGACCACTTGTAAAAATCTTTTTTGTACTAGTGCATGTTGGTTCCATGCTTCAAGAAGTGGAGGTAAGTAACAACTTCCTCGCAAAAATAAGTAACAACTAACCAAGTCTAAACCTTGATGCCTAAATCAAATAAGATATGGTTTTGTGAAGCATAACCTGATTGGATATTATTTCTCCTAGAATATGTAGTCTTCCAAACCAGCATGAAACTTGGTGTCTGTTGTTCTGAGCCATTTATGAAAACTCCAAAAAAAAAGATTTTGGGTCCAGATAAATTTGATTGACTATCATTCCAGTTAATGTGGTGATCCTTCTAATTGGTTGGCACAAATTACCTATTATTGTTCACTTTAACTAGTTTTGTCAAATCATGTCAAAAAAAACGCACATCCGTTCCTACACATATTATGCACATAAGAACAAAATTGGATATGTTAACAATAAAGGAAGCATAAAAATGTGAGATTGTTTGGTCTGAGTATATGGTATAAGATGCAGTCAGATTTGACAACATTTGACATGGATTTAGTTAGTTTATTGTGAACCTGCACAATGTATAAGAGTTTTCCACCATTTTCACTACTACATAAACTTTACTGGAGGCGGGCGATTTGGGTTTCCCGCGGCGGGCAAAGCCGTCCGCCGCGGCCTAGAGGCCACGGTAAATCGTGGCTTAACCGTGGCGGGCGGCTTTGCCCGCCGCGGTTAACCGATTTACCGCGGCGGGCGGTGTAACGTGCCCGCTGCGGTAAATATACTTTTACCACGGCGGGCACGTTACACCGACCGCCGCGGTAAATTATTTTACCGCGGCGGACACCTTTTGTGGCCCACCGTGGTTATGTTGATTAGCCGTGGCGGGCTTTATTATTTGCCCGCCTCGGTAAATTATTTCCTGAATTAAAAAATACAGCAGGCATATAAATTCAAATTCAAATTCAAATCACATCCATATTTCACAGATTAAACTTAAAAAGTATGCAGGCATTACACATGAGATAATATACATATATATATATATACATTCACTTAGTCGTTCTTGTCATCGTTAATTCATTACATTTACATATTAAAGTCGTTATACATGCGCTAAGGTGTAATCCTGCGGACGGATCATCGTGGGCCATTTCCTCAGCCTCTCGTACTCTGGTAACCTCGCTAGCGGGCTGTTCTCATGGAAGAACGTGCCCCCTTCAAGCACGCATTTGTCTAAGACAAACTTATATATGTCCGCCTTTGTCTGCTTGAAGCTGTGTTGGATGCTCTGCATGTCTCTCGACCAGTTCAATCCATTCTTGAGCACCCTCCAACTGCTGCTGTACTGCTTGCACACCCTCAGGAACTCACAGGCGTAGAAGCCACAGGTTTGTGATCCTACCGGTTATTTGGCACACTGCATGATCGATACGCAAGCATTACAACACAGGCATTAGAATGCATATGAACGGAAAGCACAATTAAACCTTTCAAATACTTACCGGAAAGTTGCGTCTGATTTTGATGCGGTTCTTATGCTTAGCCTTAAAATTCTCTGTTCTTCGATCATAGCATTCAGGATCCTTCACGTACTCCTTATAAGCGCTATATATGAAATGTACTAGTATTAGATAGGGCATTAGAACGCAAATGAGAAGACAGATCAGTCACTTACACTTTGAGGCAATCTTCAAAGGCCTTGTACCCTTTTAAGTTTGGCAGTGTCAACGAATCAAATACGTAGGCCCTGCCATCCTGAGGGTAGATGATAAATGCAACCCAGTGACCCTCGAGGCCTTGGCTGCGCCATTGAAACAAAATACAGGTTACGACGAGAAATAATCATTCTAGCTAGCTACCCACTTATCTCTACAGGCATGTCTTCGACTTACCCAAAGTGGTAGGCAGCTAGGATACACCCATGTCCCCTAATCTTCTTCATTGCTCCTAGTATGTACCTTGAAATGTTCAACTTCTCATTGTCCATCAGTTTCTTCCTGTGCGCCTCTCTCTGTCGCTTGGTCAAGTCTTTCATGGTTGGATGATTGTCATCTAGGTGGTAACCAATGATGATTCTTTGAGCAATATGCATTGGAGATAGATAGATAACATCAAGTTTTAGTTCCTTAGATATATAGGCCATCAACCTGCAAGGACAAGCCATCGTGGCATATATAAGTAGTCTTGACCGATTCAAAGGCAGGTGATATGTGAAACTCGCAATTCATCACTTACATAGAGAACAAGGTGACTTGGGCGATGTCAAGGTCTTGTCCCCGCAGATAGTCTATACATGTCGTGGAAGTCCACGGGAGTTCTACATCGCTCTTCGGGCAAGTGGAAGTACTCCGCCACAACCTTGACTAGAAAACCATGCAGAGGCCACTTTTGCCGCTTCCATGTACCAAAGTTGTGTATTTGTATAGGCTTTATCGCAAGGGCAAGATAAAGCTACCGCTTTGGTAAATCAACTCTTTACCATGGGAAGCGGTTTAAAGTGCCCGCCACGGTAAATCGTATTAACCGCAGTGGGCGATTCATACCGCCCGCCGTGGTAAATAACGATTTACTACGGCGGGCAAGTAAGGTGGCCCGCCGCGGTAAACCCTTTTCCCGCAGCGGGTGCCTCGGTGGCCGGCCTCCGATTAACCGCGGCGGGCAAAAGAAGTGCCCGCCACGGAGCCCATTTTGGCCACGCTGCGCAAATTGATTCCTATAGTAGTGTTTCTACATACCATGTTTTCTCACAAATGCTAGGTCCACTATTGGGAGTGACATTAGAGCCTCACCTCACACCTGTTCACAGAG